ATGTTGACATCGATTTTGTAAAAATTTCATTAACCGAAATTTCGTTAACCGAGATCACTGTACTTTTCATAAAAACTGCTCGGCACACACACGCTGTCTGTCGCCAGGCTGTCTTTGTGTTTGGGAGATCACATAGGTCATAAAATAATTATCGAATAATAATTCCACAAATAAATACATTTATAACATAATCATAGCATTATCATCTAGTAATACTACACTACAATATAACATAGTGAACCCTCACTTTACGAGTCAATTGAACCCACGGGGCCCGCAAAAGAAAAGCTAAGAAACGCGAAAGTGAACAACATATAAATATATGGATTAAATGAAATAAAGACCGCTGACTTAAACCCACTTTTTCCAACACAATACTGTACCTATGTTCTAGTAAAATAACATCTTAGTTTTATGATGGTACATGTACACAATTAATACTTAAGAGAAATAGAGAAATTCAGTCGCTAGTTAATGTCCATTTCAAATAATGGACTCAAATCCCTCCCCTTTCTCACACTACACCGCTGGCTCTTCCTCTGAGAAATTTTTGGGAAAACCACTAGATTTTAAGGTATAGTAATAAATAATACCTCAAACTAAAGTTAGATAATATAATTGACATTGCTGGATTCCTTGCAAGACCAGGAATATTTTGAATGTACACTTATATATTTTGCACAAAAGATAACATATTTGCTCTGAGTAAACAAAAATACTTGCATTAGATCTAAAATTTGTATGTCTACCGTGATATCACGGCCTATAAGACAAAAATTTGAACATTAAAAAATCTGCCCAAAGTTAGGGGGTCGCCTAAAACCACCAAGTTTAAAATTTTACCTCTTAAATATTGTGGTTTAGTGTCAAGAGTGGTGATGAAAACATCGTAGTTCACTCACAAGGTCTTACCACTAATTATTTTATACTGAAACTTACGCTTAAGTGTTGATTCAAATTAAGATTACCGTATATTAAAATAATAAAATGTATTATAAAACCTGTCTAACATACCGTAAAAGAGATTTATACCCTGTAATAAACACAGCTATCATCACACACCCTCCCCCACGCCCCCATTTGCCAGTGAGGAGACAAGAAAGGAAAGTGACCACGAGATTGGGCTATTTTTAGTCGTGGAGGTGGTCAGTAATGCATACCGTATCGGTATATTTACTCATAATAATATTTATCTCCTATAAATAATTGATTTAAATTTTATTTTTTACAAAGAATATTCAGTAAATGAGTGCTTTAATTTTGAAACTATCGACGGTTAATTACAGACGCTAAGTGACGTCACTAGTGTTTACACAACAGCTGGTACATTTGATGCCATTACTAAATTGGCCTTATTTTAAGTAACTAACTATAAACAAAAATTAAAAAAAGATCAAACTGAGAAATAATATACTGTATGTATGTTGTGTTGTCAAAGTAAGAGGAACAATTGAAACTGCAATTCGGTAAATCTATTTCAAGTAAATGGAAAATAAGCAAACATGTTATTTACTAAGACGCTTTCCTCTGGCTCAGGGTGAGATGGAGGGAGATAAGGCTGTTTATAGCCTGCCTGAAGTGGCCAGTACCCTAATGCACCATAAATAATTCATTGAACATTCATTTTTGTACATAGTATTTCAGTATATATATATATATATATATATATATATATATATATATATATATATATATATATATATATATATATATATATATATATATATATTTATATATATATATATATATATATATATATATATATATATATATATATATATATATATATATATATATATATATATATATATATATATATATATATTTGTAATAAATGTATGTAGTAAGTACATACTGGTAACCTTTTTCACTCAAATCCTAATGAAACACCACAATTAGAATACGTGGTTGCTGTTGAACCACATGTTGTATAAATAGTCGAACACAGCCACACCACCAGACGAACACTCCCACCACCCCATCGCCTCGTGAAGCAAGCGTGATAAATGAAAGAAAATACTAGTGTGTTTAATATGTTACAGTATATTATAAATAAATAAATAAATAAACAAATAAATCAGTAAATCCATTTCAAGTAAATGGAAAAATTTACCTCATACCGACATTAGTTCCAGTTATCGGTAAATAGCAGACGTTCAGTGACGCCACTAGTGTTTACACTACACCAGCGGTATAATTTGATGACATTATTTGAAGTGAATTGGCCTTATTTTAAAAAAATCAAGATGGTTGGTAAAGGACTACTGAGTCAGTGGGTAAGTGTCACATTTGGGGTACTGGTCTTATATACAGCAAATAGAGCTCAAAAGCTACTTTTTAAATGGAAATTTGGGGGCGTCTTATGACTCGCCACTTTTATAGGTCGGGATATACGGTAATGCAAAATCTATGATGCTTATATTCAAATGATCATCAAATTGTAAGAATTCTAGCAATGTAAATTATATTCTGGCCGGATAATTTGTATGAATTTTATGAACTAAATAAAAAATTATACTTCACCAAGATATGAGTAGATGCACGCTGCAAAGCGGGTTCACTGTACACAACTTTTAGTAATAATAGCTAGATCCCGACTTACGACGGGTTAGGACCCAAATCCAGGTCTAAGTCCCATATAGATAAAAAAAAAAGAATTAAATGTTTTTTAAATAAAAAATCTACAATGAAATACAGTACAGTAAAAGTAATAAATAATGAGGAATGGATACAATACAGTGAAAGTAATAAATAATGAGGAATGGTTACAGTACAGTGAAAGTAATAAATAATAAGGAATGGATACAGTGTGACTGAGCACTTACCTTTAATGTAGTCAGCTGAATGCACATGGGGCCCCTATAATTTTCTAATTATACATGGAGACTACATTAACTGGAAACGCTTTCGGTATAGAAAATGCGGTGTCATTTGAAAAAATATGGTCACAACTGCGGCGGTCGTTAGTCCCAACGGTCGAAGTCCAAGCAGTCTAAAGGGGTGTAGCTGTATTACTTTGATACAACATGATAAAATGGATAAACAATGAAAAATAAACAACAAAAGAAGGTAGCTTTACTAAGAAGCTTCCTCTGACCACGAGTAGGGTGCTGAGGTGGCGTGGTGGTGGCGGGTGGTGGTGGTGGCGGCGGCGGGGCGGCGGGCGGGCGGGCGGTGGCGGTATGTGGTGGCGGTGGCGTGGCGGTGTGGTGGTGGCGGGTGGCGGGTATGGTGGTGATACGTGGTGGTGTTGGTGAGAGAGGTATAATAATTATCAGTTTAGAGGACGGATTCCCTTAAATGTAGCGGTCCATAAGTTTCTTGACAACAGCACCAGAGAAACTATGTGGGTCATCCTAGGGTATGTCTACATCACTTGCTGTGTAAAACAACTAGATCTAACACATACCCAGTATCACAGTCATATAGCACAAAGAACTTGATCCCAAAGCGATGCTATTTGGAGGGAATGTATTGTCTAGAAAACAACACATTCTCTGAAAAGCACCAGAGACTTGTCCACCACTACATTCTGAAACGGTCTGAAGAACTTATAAATGTTCCTTCGCATCGTAAAGCTTTCCTTATTTTCCATAGTATGTCACCAGCCACAGGAATGTTGTTATCCATGAAGTGTAGATAACGAGGATGGAGGCAAACCGGTTCTGAACATGAATTTTGCAACCTACATCACTCCATCGCACGCATGTGTGGCGAGGGGCCAGGGCCTGGGTCAGGCCATACGCGGTACCATTCAAATAAATTACTGTCTTACAAGAATCCAAGCTATGTAAGATATTCACCCAGGTCGCTTTGGGTGGCAAATTATGAGAAGAGCTTAAATACCTAAAGAATGATAAAAAACATGCAGGCCTTCAGCACCAACTGTCAAATCATATCTCAAATAAATAAACAAACACCAGGCAATCTGTCACCTCACCTTCCGCTTCCCCTGCTCCCCTCTTCCCATGCTCCTGGCTACTCCCTCCTTGTGTTCCCAGACAAAAGATTGGTGATAACTTTATGCTTTAAGGTGTTTATTTTATATAATATCTCAGACTAAAGCTAGATAATATAATTTGCATTGCTGAAATCCTTGCAAGACATGAGATTAATTTAAATATAAACGTCATATATTTTGTCCTAGATAAAATTGTAGTACATTAGTGTGCAATACTTTAGTACATTTTATAATATAAAAGTTTTTCAGCTGTATTTTTGGTAGATTCACATAGATTTCTTCATTTATTTTCGTCCATTTACATGCACACACCATACTAAGAGAAACGTAGAGAAATGACTGTAAATGACTGTGCAAAGCTGGAGTACATGTACTAATTTGATTACGGTACTAAAATTGTTATGTCTAGTGCATATTATAGGTTGTTTATATTTAAATAAATCAACATCTTGGCAAGAATCCCAGCAATGTAAATTATATTCACCCAGGTCATTTCACTGGCTTTTTATAGAGAGAAGCTTAGTCATTAAGAACAGATAAATAAACACGCTATAGACCTGGGCCTGTGCTAACTGTCAAACCGCTCCTCCCTCCCTCCCTCCCTCCCTCCCTGTCCCCATCTGCCCAGCCTTGCTGGAATCCTTGTAAAACAGTGAATAATTTTAATATAAACGTCATGTATTTTGCACAAGAGATAAAAATTAATCACCTGTATCACATTACAATAGTGATTAAGAGTAAAAGTGTATATGTACGCTTATAGTATCACATACACGTAAGTATAAATGCTAAGTTTATGTGATGATCGGACAACGTCCATTTCAGTTAAAGCCACGTTTTCCAAGAGAACGATTTGTAGGACGTTAACCGCATGACTGTAATTTTAGATCCTCGCTTACACTGAGATGTTGTCGCACTTAATATAATTGTTTTAACTGTACAGTAATGTGAAAGTTTGTACAGTATATTGAAGATCAGTTCTCATACAGTACTGTATACATTTTATACCAGATTAGCAACTCGTGTCTTATAATTGCAGGACCAGGAAGTGGATATTAACATAATATATAGACTGGCTCCTGCCTGGCCTCTCTGACCAAGGCTGATGGTGATTGGGAAACATTTATTAACATGCTGGAGACGTACCTACGGAGGAGGATTCAGCATCGAGAAACTGCAAGCTAACATACCTGGCATAGGTAAGTGTGTCATGTTCCATCCACCACTTCAGTGTCAATTTGACTGAATTCATATTTTGAGAAATATACGAAATGTACAGTACCATACATACAATATAGCTCTTTGGATGGTGGTACATCACTTTATATTTTTCCCAGATGGAGATGAAGAGGCATTATAGACTATAGTATAGACAGAGCAGGTTATTCTGATGTCTTATTAGAGCCTTTGTGCCAGAACCAGTGGTGAGGGCTGTCCCGACTATCCATGGAGATAGTGTACAGAGTGTGTGTGTGGCAGTGAGTGGATGGTAGGCCTAGCTGAGCATTTTGACAATGTTTGCTTATTGACTTTACGTAATGCAGTGTTAGTGAGTAACGATTGCAGTAATGCCGTTACTTAAGAAAATTTGTACAGTAGAATGTTGATATAACACGAGATCCGTTCCAAGAGATTAGCTTTAAACCCAGATTAGCACTAACTCAAAGTGTTGTTTCAATGGAATAACTTAGTTTGGTACTTGAGAGAAACACAAAATACTAAAAAGACTGAAGTCTGCAGATGCACCTCAGCCCATATCCTAGAATAAACAAAACATTGTTTTTGTAGTATTATGTTAAAACAAACACTCCTAAATCAACACAGCTAAAATTACAGGATGCAGAAATGGTCTGTTTACTAGCGATCAGCTGATGTGAGAGGTGGTCTCGCTGGTGCAGCGCATCACCTGCCTCTCGTCTGACTCGCCAAGCATTTTTACTTTCCTCAACTTAGTTTTTCATTAATTTATGCTGGCCTCCCCTGCCCCGACTGAGAGTCTGCCCAGATACACTAGAACTCATAAATCACTAATGTAATGTAATACAGGTCCACAATCTATCCCTTATTTGAGGTGTGTAATGTCTACATTCAAATTTGCTATCTTGCAAAGATTCCAGCAATGCAAATTATATTCTCCTAACTTTAGTCCGTGACATTTATAAGATAAAACTTTTAACCCTAAAACTACCTTCACCCCTGGGAAGAGGAGGGTGATGTGTTGACAACCAGGCAGGGGAGGAGTGGGGTGAGGTGAGGTATTCATCAGCCAGGAGACATTAATCCTGTGTGTCTTATCAGTTTTCACTTATAAAATGTCACTGAATTGACCGGGAATATAACAAATTGATGGCATTCTTGTAAGACAGAGATTAATATGAATATAAACATGCTATAGTTTGCACTTGACATAAAATTTTAGTAATTATTTAGTACATTTGAGGTACAGTACGGACAATTATTTCTTTACTTTTTTTTAGGATGGTGTGTGCATGCAAATGAGTAAAAATAAATGAAAATTATGTAAATCTACCCAAAAATACAGTTGAAAAACTTGTACTGTACATTACCAAATGTACTACACTAATGAACTAAATTTTTATCTCCTGAGAAAAATATATGATGTCTATATTCATATTATTTGCTGTCTTGCAAGAATTCAACAATGCAAGATATTCTCCCTAACAGTCTGTGATATTATGTTAGATAAAACTGTAAGCCTAAAACCACCAAACCTGGCTGGGAGGGATGTGTTTGTGGCTGGCGCCGGGGTCTAGTGAAGTATTTCTTTATTCATGTATCTGTCCTTTAGAGTGAGTTTTTGTTTTTAAGCATGAAATGTTACTGAACTGACCTGGGAGAATATAACACATTGCTGAAATTCTTATAAGATAGTGATTAATTTGAATATAAATATGCTATACAGGTTTGTACCTCTCTAGTCTGGCATTCTGTGGTCCGAACTACCTTGGTCCGGAACGATTTTAGTTTGTCCTATAGGTAGATAGGCAGTTTTTTTTTTTTTTTTTTTTTTTTTTTTAACTTATCTGAATTATTATTATTATTACAGGAGTATTAAATTTTTGCCCCTTAGGCCCCAATGTGGGTCAGTGACCTATACCGAGTAGGCTAATCCTTAAAAAAAAAAGCCATGGAAATTAAGATTTGTTTACATCCGTGTCTCTCTGCTTGTCTATACAGAGTACAACATTTAACCCTTCAATATATATGTGAGTAGTAAATAAGTGTTGCTTTCATATTCTTATGTAGAGTAATGACGATATATTTTCACATGTGCAGACTTACATACTAGAGCAGTCTCACTTTTTTTACCATTAATGGTTACCTACTTATATTGTTCCATTTATTAACATTAAATAACATTACAGGTACTTCAACAACCATAATCATTTTTTACATTAGTTTTACTACAGCTAAAATCAGGGTCTTATTTTCTTCAGTTTTATATGGAACCAATCAGTCACTGGTTTTGTGTTTTAAATAAACAATGCCGCAGCCGCCTTCTCTCCTCTAATATTCCACGTTATTATTAATAAATTGTATTAATTTTGCACACACGCATTGATTCAATAAAACAAATTCAGAAACATTAATTAAAATATACATGAACAGAAAATAAGTGTTGCTTTCATATTCTTATGTAAGTAATGACGATATTACGTTATTTCTGCGGACTTTACATACGCGATTTCTTTTTTCTTTACCCTTATCGTAGCTACTTCTATTGTTCCATTTATTAACATTAAATAACATTGTTAAAACAACCATATTAATTTTACTGCAGCTACAGTCAAGGTCTTATTTTCTTCAGTTTTATATGTAGAACCAGTCAGTCACTGGTTTTGTAATCAACCAAAACAATGCTGTGTCATTTCCTCATGTGTTTTAATTTCTACGATATTAATGAATTGTATTGCTTATTTTGCACTATATAGACATTAATTCAATAAAAAGACATTCAGTAATAAACAATAATGAATTTTTTACATAGAGAAATGACGTTGTTTCACGATTATGCAACGTCGTCTGCACGCTGGCGGGCTGCAAACCCGCGTCAAATTCAAGTTTCAGCTGCAAAATTTTTATTTATTTATTTTTTGTGTGTTCCAATAAAATACGTTAAGAATTAAAAACTCAAATTTGAGAAGCTACTATACGACATTTAACCCTTCAATATGTCTTCAAAGAGACCATGACGTGAAAGTGGTGCTAGTGCTTCCAGGCATAAGCACAAGTCACCATCTATCCAGGAACAGGGTGAATTTCCATGGTCCGCACTGGTCAGGTCGAGGTTGCCGGACTAGAGAGGTACACCTGTAGTTTGCACTAGACATCTAACAAATTTAGTAATTATTTGGTACATGTGTATAGTACAGAATTGGCTTGTGTTTGGGCATTATGAACGTGTATGAGAGAGGTTTAAGCGCACTAAATTGACACACACACGAGAGGCAGGTGTTACTCTGACAATACCCAATACCTATGTGGCAACTGAAGACAGAGGGTGGGATAAGTTGGAGCATTTGGCGGCTAGCATTTGGCACACTTACTTAACATTTTGAATATTTTGAGCTTGAAATTGAAATTAACGAACTCAGGGTAATCTACCCAGATTTGACTCACATAAATAGAAAGATTCGCTTAAATTGATAAGATGTCCTTACTTGGTGGGTCGCTAATCTATAATTTTAAATCGACTTTCTACTTTATTACTTTTGTGGATAATTAATCATTTTGTTACCTTATATTTGAATAAATAGAAGCATATCAACAGTGGAAAAAAATGCATGCAAATAACTGAATACAGTGGCCATCGTGTTAACATATGTTGCTACCGCGCTCCTGGCACACAGCAGTGTTGCAGTTTGTGAATTTGAGGCGTGGTGAAAACAATTGTGATCGGTCATGGGTGTAGAAATGTCTGATATCTTCCCACTTCACTGTAGAATAATTTCCACAATTTTCAATTATGACACCTTAATAATTACAATACAGTGATATCTTCATTAGTCGAACAATTGGTGGAGGGCACTTCCGGTAAGAGATTTCCGGAACGGACTCTCTCAAAGGATTTTTTCAGGTAACAGAAAATTTCTCTAAGTTCCAGAAATTGCGCATTACATCATCTCTCAAACTTGGGGGACCTCCCCATCCCTGAATTTCTCATAAAGGGCCCCTAATTTCACGAGGATTTTATTTCATGGTCCTCTATTATTTGGCATGACACCCTAGATGTACCCAAGCATGTCTGAGGGTACAGTATAGTCTTGGTACGCGGATTTGGTTTATGCGTTTAGTCATTTACGCACCTTGCCAGACCGACAATTTTTATTTACGTAGTTCATTCCATCATGTACACGGAAGCGGCGCGGGCAGGGAGTGATAAGGTCGCCCAGTCAACAAAACATTACCGAGTTCTTCACCCGCTACCACAGCCGCCCAAGTCAGTGATAGTGATAGTGAGGATATGGACTTTGAGGGTTGACTAAGAGGCCCTGCAAGCCTCTGTGGTGGATAGTGATACAGGTGATACGGTGATACAGGTGAGGGCCAATAATCTGCCCTCTGCCTCAGAACCAACCCCAATCCCCGTTACCAATATCTCTTCTACGTAAGTGTTAAAAACTAATACAGTAACCCTCACTTCAGCGGTTAATGTAACCCGGAATACCGAGCGGAAAGCAACGTAAAGTGAATAACTAACATGGTTAATTGAAATAGGTCAGGCCGATCCCAAACTCCACTTTTGACACATAACTATGTTGTAGTAAAAATAACATCTTAATTTATGATGATACGTGCACACAATTAATACTTAAGAGAAATAAAAGAAATGCAATGCATCAAGTTAATGTCATTCAAATAATGGACCCGACTCTCCTCTTCTCACACTACACTGCTGTCTTCCTCTAAGAAATTTTGGAGAAAACTAGGTATAGTAATAATAATATAAATAAAGTTAGGATAATATATTGACATTGCTGGTTCCTTGTAAGACCAGGAATATTTTGAATATAAATGTCATATATTTTTCACAAAAGATAACATATTTACTCAGATTAAACATTACATCAAAATTTGTATGTCTAATGCAAAATCTATGATTTTATATTCAAAATGATCATCAAATTGTAAAATTAGCAATATAAATTATATTCTGGCGAGTAATATTGAAGTTTAT